TTTTTTTTTTTTTTTTTTTTTTGTTTCTTTATTATATTTAATTGATTTTCGAGTAGCATACATACATATGTATATATATACTACCAAATTGTCTTATTTCCCTTCATCGTGCCCGTTGTGTTGGTCATTCGATCGCACGCGGTTCTTCGATAAAAAAAAAAGCTTCATCCTTCGTTTCCTTCGCGTTCATAAGATTACGTGTCAAAGTTTGGCAAGATTTTTATGCCAAAATCTATCATCGTCTCGTTATCTCTAATATCGTGCCCGTCCTGCGACCCGGGCAAACCGATGCGGCAATGTGACCAGCCAATTAAAGGGGAAGTTCAACGATAGGCCTTGGCCCTTTCTGCCCAAGCGAATAAATCCACGCTGGGAATAGCTTCGAACATTGTGCAGGACCTCAACTCGTTTCTGATAGAAAGAGAAAGAAAATAAAAGGTGTTTAATTTTAGTTTTTTTTTTTTTTTTTTTTTTTTTTATATTTATAGAATTTTGTATAGGAAAGAAAAATAATATTTAATAATAGTGTAAGCAATATAATAAGGTCGTAAATTAAAGTATTAAGCGATATCACACTATTATAATATATCATTTCATAGAAAGAAGTAGTTGTGAGTTGATCGTGAGCTTTTAAAATGTTTTAAAGCGGCATTTTTCGAAAAATGTTCAATTGACTTTACGACCTTAGAATATTCCATATATAGTTCTATATTTATTTAAACACATACAAACGAGACACAATATGAGACTTTTATCAATTTTTCTCATAATCGTTATAAGTATGTGTAATTTAATAATGTTTATAAAATAGATACAGATGAATGAATCAAGATATAAATGGAATAATTTAAGAGTTATATAAGGAGATTATTTGTACGAAAGTTTTCTTATCGAAATAGTAAAACAATTGGTAAAAGTAAAAATATCATCAACTTACTCTGCTTGTGGCCGGAGGAATACATTTGGCTGCATTTGGGTAATATTGTTACCATTGTCGCAAAATATTCTTGCTAACGTTACATTCCGTATTTGTGCCAATTGCTCTGTAACAAAGTTTCAATTGCAATTTATGCGATATTTCCCAATATAAATGTCATCTCTTTACGATGAAAATGCGTCTCTTACCAGGTGTGAAGGGATGCGGTTGATACGCAGAATCATAGAAATATCTGTCTGTGCGACGAGTTCTTGAAAACTGTTCAAATATTAAACAGCGGAATGTGGGGCCTAATAGGCCATCATCAACTGGTCTCTCGGCCATACCTCCGATAATAAGGTCTACGTCATCAGGATGAGCGTAAAGTGTGCGCAATTTCTTCATCATCTGTTAATCACGATTAAATTTGAGATAAAAATAATTTGGAAATATTTTTAACTTTTAACTAATATAATTCTTTGATAATTTTTTAATAATAATTGTAGATCGTTTATGTATTAATTACGCAATATTTTTTGATTTATATGAAAATCTATATGAATTGAGATACGAAAAATACGTTCATTAAATATATTTATCGTTCGTCAAAATGATTTTACCTCCATTGGAATGTAATCTAAGAAATCGTCGAAGCTCTTTGCAGCTGGAAGACCACAATATTTTCTGTAATGATTGTAACCGGGTAATCCATGATCACGGCCACGTTGAATGTCCAAGCTGATGGCATCCAAGCCTAAGCTATCTTGACTTGCCGCGAATAATTTGCTTGTCACGTCTTCGATTATGCTGACATCCATTTTCTGGCTAGTCTGAGTAGCCATTCCACGTAATAAACCGTCGAACACTTCGTCAGACTCGATTATAATCGGTTTGAAGAAGTATTCCGATAAAGAAACTGTTTTGTTGATCTGGCGTTTATTGTCTGTCAAACTGTAACAAAATAATAAAAATAGCGAAATGAAAAACACGTATTTTTCATTTTTTTTAATCGAAACAGACGTCTAAAAAAATATCTTGTGATCTTTAAACAAAATTTTTATTTTTCCCCTCGGTTTTGATATATTTTATTACGAGTTAAAAATAAATTTACCTTATTTTCCCTTGCATCAAAGAAGTCAAGAAGCGCAGAGCTGCTGTCGCGACCTCGTTACTTATCGCTGGATCATCCTCGGAATTATAGTTACGACTGTAGCTATTTCCAACTGTGAGTCCAACGGCGCGGGTATACCTCTTGCCCAGCAATATAGGTAGCCACTCTTTGTACGTGATATGCTGAATTTCAGCGATAACTATACGCCTGGCTTCTTGAAACAGTGTCTCGTCTGACCAGTTAGGATTCAGCTCGGCAAGTTTGTCGGCTATTCTGTTGTGTTCGCGATGCCAGATTGTATGTATCACAGCGAGTTGTGGATGCGTGTTTACACGATAATCACCTAAGTAATTAAGAATACATATCCAGTGAAATTTACGATAGAAACGAAATGGGAGAAGAAGACTTCTGAACGCGTAACGCGTGGAAAAGTCAAGTGTGTCGTCGTAAAGAAATCGTCTTTTAATTTAATTAATGTTCAAATCATCATTTGCGAAAAGATGTAAAAGATATTTACTAATTTTAAAATAATAATTACTAATTTTATTCCTTCTCGAAGGTACGAATGTAATTATCGCTCTTCATTGCAAATCAAAAGTAGGATTAAAGGATTGAAAACACTTACCAGAATTGTAACAGTTCTTCGCACATGCGGACGAGATTTCGTCCTCTCCAATTGGCAAGAATTCGTGATTATTCTCCTTGTGAACTCGTAAACGACCTCCTTCGAACTCACGCAGTTGACGAGATTTTTTCAATGTAGAACCATAGATCGCTGAACCATCCAAAAAGTGGCTCGCTTGATTCATCTGTTATCAAGAGAAAAAAAAATCGGTTTAAAACTCGAGTCTAATAATTCTAATACACGATATTCCATTACCGTAAATTATTAATTCCAAGCAATTTTATATTTAATACAAAACGATAACGAAAATACTTCTATTATCTATTCAAAACATTATTTTTTTTTTTAAATTCTTTTATCTTTAACAAGCATTTAAATTAGATTAATAAAAATAACAAGATTTATAACGAAGAAAGTTAAATATACCTGTTCCGCGGGTCCAAATGTACATTCCGCTTTAAGAACCGGCAACGATCGCACGTAATTCATGCATCGTACGTAATGCTGCCCGTAAATAGGATCTCGATCAGGTACCATAATTACAGAACAATCAGGGTGTACGTATCTGGGAGATAAAGTGTTTCCGTCTGATCGACAGCACGAGATCGGTTTTCCTGTCGACACTGTAAATAATTTATCGATATTATTTGCAACAATTACAATATATATTACGATATACATGATGAAAAGAGAAAAGTGAATTTTTATTAAATGTAATTTAATTGAAAATATGTTACGCGTGTACAATCCAAAAATAATCATTTTAACCCCAGCTTAAAAAATGCTTACCCATTTTGCGCATCGGGGTGTAAGAAATGTCGTTTGCAACGAACTGACCCCACTGCATCACCGTCAAAGTTCTGCTGACGTCCGATTGATCGTTGGGTGTCGACACGGCCACACTTATGCTTCTCGCGCCGGGTAGCGGCTTTCTCGTGTGCCCCATACGCCTCGGTTCTTGGATTCCTGATCGCCGAATTAAGCATTAGGCTCGTGGCATTATCTCGCGACACCTCGTCGCCAAATCGGAGTAACGTCGCGCTACGATTTCTTAAGGATGTTAAAACGACAAAATTCGTTTTATCAATTTTATCAATTTACGAAAATTTGTTGTTAAACAGTTCGTAATCGTATAATATCGATCCTCGAGATCGAGGAAAAGTTTTGAAAGAATGGAAGGATTATTATTACTCCGATTTCGACAGAATCTTGCAGGTGATCTCCGCGTATGCGTGTGAAATAATATTGGTGCAGCGCGAGAGCGAGAAGTGTCTGATACTGAACAATTGAAATCGAGGTTCCAATCCCTGCAATACGAGAATCCTACCCTATAAAAACCTGCCTCAGCGCGCGACCATTCAATTCATCAGAGACCAATCAGTAGGCGACATCATATTTTTAGAATTTCAGCAACGATGATTGCTTTTCAACTATGAATCGATTAAGATTTTTCTTTTTCCCTTTTCTTTTCTTTTCTTTTCTTTTCTTCTTCTTTTTTTTTTCCTTGGATCCTGAATACTACGCTGATTGATCTCTGAATCGACCGAGAAACGACGACTCTCGCGCTGCAGAGCAGTACAAAATACTTGTCTTCTACTTATTTTTTTCTTTGACGTGATATTCTGATGCGTTATCGACGCTCGAGAACAGATTATTTTCTTATTCTTTTTTTTTTTTTTTTCATTCGTGAACTATGATTCTGTTCTTAATTTGCCACGACACAATGATGCTTGTTCATTAAAAAAAAAAAAGGACAATCACGTCGAGAACGCTTACAGAAGGGATCAAGTGACTTATCTATGTGGCTGATGAAGGTGCCCAAGTGAGAAAATCAAATTGGGAGATGATGGATGCTTGATGACACTCGATACGACTGTTCAAA